AATCTCTAAAAAGCAACTGTACTTGTATTTTGTTAATAAAAAATTCGATAAGTCACAAATTTAATTTTTTGTTTTTTTGTTTTATTGAGAGTCTCAATTCGAGACCATGCGATACTATATGATTTTTTTTATTATCGGTATAGTTTTGCATTGAAGCGATACTGATAGAATCGGCATCGGAACATAGGCGATACCACACGATAAGAGACCATCCTTCTCGGTATCGAGTGGTATCGAACCGATACCGATAGTATCGACATTAGTATATAAACGATACCACGCGTCACGACACCATTCTTCTCGGTATTAACTTATACGATACCGATTGTCAAGTGTTTAAAAAGTATAACGCTAATTTAAAAAAAAAATTATCCAACGCTATGTGAAAACTATACGCCTATCAGTGTTTTACTCTGCGTTGCAAAGATATTTGAGATTCTCACAATCTCAATTTCTTAAACACATATCAATTTATTTATCTCAGTTTCTTTGCGGTTACCAAAAAGGTTTAAGCACGCAAAGCTCTTAATGAACAAATTGAAAAATGGTAAATCTTTCTTGGTAATGAAGGTTATGCTGCTGGTATTCGTGTGTACTTATCTGATGCTTCTTTTTTTTATGTTAATTCACCTCCTCAAGGCCGATAAGCTCACTGTTATAAAGGAGGCTACTTTAGTTGTGGTTTTAACCCTCTCTCAACTTTATCACTCCAAAACACGAAGCTTGACAAACAAGTCCGCTGCGTGGATAAACAAATTGAACTCGGTACTACCAGTGACGTGGTAGGGATCAAACTTGGAACTTCTCGTATTTGAGGAGAGCGTTCTACCTCTACCGAACTGGTAGTGTTGTTTACCGCACTTGGTTAGCTTATGGTTTTCACTTAACTATTTTGAAACTAATGAAAAGCTATTTATATGATCAATACCAAAGAACTTAAATAAGTGCATCCAATAGCTCTTGAATTAAAAGTATTACAATGCGCCCCTAAATGTTTGGTACTCGAGTCCCATGTATTTTAATATATATATATATATATATATATATATATATATATATATATATATATATATATATATATATATATATATATATATATATATATATATATATATATATATATATATATATATATATATATATATATATATATATATATATATATATATATATATATATATATATATACATATATATATATATATATATATATATATATATATATATATATATATATATATATATATATATATATATATATATATATATATATATATATATATATATATATATATATATATATATATATATATATATATATATATATATATATATATATATATATATATATATATATATATATATACATATACATATATATATATATATAGTTATACATTTATATATATATATGTAATATATTCATTTCTAGTTAAAAATTACCAATGTAATATTTAATGTTTATATTTTTCCAGACGACACTACACTTTATGTATTAGATAAAGATATGCATATTCAAAGTCACAATTTATGTACTGTACTCTTGTGTGGATGTTTTACATAAAAGCAGTAAATGTAAAAGTCAATAAGTTACACGCGCAAATACATTATGTTTGATATACAATGGGAATCGGCATTTGAAAGTTTTTTAGAGAAGGATAACTATGTTTCATTATCTTGAGATTATTATTTAGCTCTAACAATCTAAAACATTAAAAATGATTCTAACAAAGCTTACTAAGTGACTCCTAACTTCTTGGCAAGAAAACGCTCAATACACGAAGCAATACTTACTTTAGTATCCCTCGAATTAAATTGCAATTGAACGGAAAAAATTCACTTTGGTATTAACTTGGAGCTCCATCCCAATAGACATTTCTTCTTTAAATTAAATTTTTAAGAAGAATTTCGAATAAAGGCAATTAATAGCCCATACAAACTATGTCTTGAATAAAAGAAAGAAAGACAAAAAAAAAAAGATATTGTTTATTAGAACAAATTTACAGGTGGTAAAAGTACACTATCATCGTTTTATATAGTTCATTATTTTACTGCAACATAGCTTGTATAATAACTTGGTAAAATCCACCAATGTTAAGCAAAGTTAAATAACAAAAATGAAAAAAACCAATTAATCTGGTAGTTATACGCTCTTTGAAAGTTTATAATAGATCTTTGGCATTGCAAAGACTGGTTATAGCTATCGATAAAACGAAAATTTGTTACTGATTTTTTAATTTACCATGCATTAAAAATGTTTGCATGCCGAAAAGAGAAAAACTCGACCATGGTTCAGTATTTTTAAAAGCTAGATTTTTGGAAGCTCAACAAAAATTTAACCTTAACCCTAACGCTGACCCCAACTCTAATTCTAATCCTGACCCTAACCCTGGCTCTAACCCTACCCTGACTGTAACTCTAACCCCTAACCCTAAATCTGACTACTAAGAGAATAAATAGAATAATTTTCCTATACCAAATATGTTATCAAAACATGGTGATTTTTCGATACCTTGCCAATGGTCGTGGTTCTGGAACTTTCTTCAGCAAACTAAATTATCGAAAATTAGAAAAATATACAAAGTTTTAAAATGGCAACTATAAAAAGAAATTGAAAAAATATATAAACCGAAAAAATTTAAAATTTGCAATCGTTTTTAACAAAACAATGAATCTTAGAGAAGCTGCAGGTGTATTTAGGTTTTTTAAAAGTACATTACAGAATTAAAATCCATAGAAATGATAAAAAATTAAATATTGAAAACTATTTCACCAAGTATACTTTGAAAAAAAAAAAGGTAGAAATGTCTACTTTAGGATAGAATGTGTGATATATCCTTAGTAAGGTTTAGTTTTGCACCTTTAAAAGTAAAGAATTATGCCTTTAAGGAAAAAAATTGTACAACAAATCACTTTTGTTAATATAATTTTGTGCCTCAGAAAGTAGAAAATTATACATTATATCACACATCCTACCATAAGGTAGAAACTTCGACCCTTTTTTTTTTAGAATTTTTTTTGTTTCCACATTCAAACTTGATTGAATGTTATGAACTTTAGTTTTTTAATTGGGTAACAAGAAAAGTTTTATTCATGTTTATCTCAATCAAATTTACATTCGCATTTTTTGCCCAAAGTTAAAATTTTACGATTTATGAGATTTTAGTTTGTTTAAATATACAAGAAAGTTGTACAAAGTTTTAATATCTTTATAAGAAAAATTCTATTTTTGGTAGTAGTTTTATTTTTTTTTAATTTTTTGTTTTTTTATTTTTTTTTTTGCTATATAAACTTATTCATAACATAAAACACATGTAAAAACAAATAGCAGGGGCAAGAAGAAACATTTGTTTTATCGCCAAACCCCCTAATCTATACCGTAATACACAATAATAAAATATAAAAATTGTAAAACTACAGCACTACAGCATATAAAATATTGTTATATAAACTTTTTATATCTATAAGAAACAAATAACAAACAAATAAAAAAATAAAATTTATAGGTCCTGAATGCCCCTCTCTAACTAAAAAAATCTACTTTTTTTCTTTTTTTAAAATAACAAAAGGACAAAAATTAAATACCAAAGTTAAAGCAAATGCTATAGTATAGCAAAAAATTATATACTTAAAAATTATGCACGCAAATACTCATAATCCTGAAACTTTTTTTTTTAAACCAGCATACACCTTTACATATACATTAGAAGAAACCATGCGCTACGTTGCTCATCAACAGTCTTTGCTTCAATTTGGTCTTAAACTCGTTAGGCGTTGCAATTGTTTTAAGATCAATAGTTAATATGTTATTTCATATTTTTGGTCCTCTAGTAGAAATTGAAAATTTAGTAGCCGCAAAATAATTTGTATGCTGATGGTAGCTGTCATACAAGTATCTGGTTAAGTATATGTTCTGATTTATCTTGAACAGAGGATCAAATAACTCAAGAGATAAATTTTTATTAATTTTGAACATAAATATAAGAAGATGAAAGGTGTTTATTTGGTAGATATCCATTATATTTAGCTTATAAAACAATGCTTGGGAATGTGTAAAACATTGGATATTATTTTGATTGCATGTTTTTGTTTGTTAAAAAGTTTTTTAATTTTAATTTTGTTTGTACTGCACCAAGCAATGTTTGCATAATTTAGATGACAATCGATGAAAGAGAAATAGAAATGAAAGAGAAATTTAAGCAATATGGATTTAAAAAAAAGTTTTGCTCTACAAATCAAATCGATGTTCTTAGAGATTTTACTTTCGAGGTAATGTATGTTATCTCTCCACATCACGTTTTCATTAAGCAGAACATCGAGAAATTTCAAAGTGATTTCTCTTTTTACGCCTTGATTGTCAATACAGAGTTTTGGAAGTTTTAAAGGAATATTATCTCGATCATGAAAACGATGAAAAAAAGTATATTTTGTCTTGGTTATATTTAGTGATAGTTTATTTGCACTGAACCATTCAGTAAGATTTATAAGTTCTTTGTTTACAGATTTGAACAAAATGTTTATATCATTATGTGCGTAGAATAGGTTTGCATCATCTGCAAATAAAATTGTATCTAGTTTATTGCATGCTTTAATTAAGTCATTAATATAAAGGAGAAATAGGAGTGGCCCGAATACAGAACCTTGATGGACACCACACATTTTATTCACATCGGTTGTTTTACCATCATTGTAAGAAATATATTGCAATATATTTGTCAGATAGCTTCTAAACCATAAAATATTTATATTTTTTACACCATAGTTTTCTAATTTTTTTAATAAAAGGTAATGATCGACAGTGTCGAAAGCCTTTCTGAGATCAATAAACACACCTAATGTATATTTACTTTCACTAAACGATTTAAATATATTTTGAACAAGAAAAACAATTGCCTGATCAGTAGAGTTAGTCTTTTTAAATCCAAATTGCTTATTATAAAGAATATTGTTTGCAGCTAAAAAGTAATACAATCTTTTTTACATAGTGTGCTCTAGTAACTTTGAAAAGGAGATGGGTCTGTAATTGGAGATATAAGCCTCGTCTCCTGATTTTGTTACTTGCATTACTCTTGGTTCCTTGTTTTAAAGAGAGATTAAATATATACAAAAGCGGGGTTTTTTAAATATGGCATTGATTTAACTACTACATTACTGCTTATATCGTCAACTCTTAACTCTGATATAGTTCAAAATGCTCAATATTGCTTACTTCTCAATAAAAAAGTTAGTTTTTAAGAAAAAACTAACTTTTTTATTGAGAAGTAAGCAATGTTGTCTTTTTATTATATTTCCGAAACTCCCTTAATGTCGTCCAAATCTACCCCCTCTATTGGGGTAGTTTTGGACAAAGAGTAATTTTGTTTTTAAGATTCAAAAGTAACTATAAATTATTTGAAATAGCTTAGCTTCGCTTTTTTTTAAAGATTTAATAACTAAGTTATCTCTTTTAGCAAAACTGTGGTATCTTTTTCAAAAAGCGTCCTAATGTGCCTCCTTCTTTCCTATGTATATATAAATATATAATAGTGCTGTTCCCTTAAAGAGTGATGAGTCCAAACTACGTAGAGTTTATAACTGTAACAGCTGTAATACACAAACATACAAACATAATAAAAGCTAGTATTTAAAATGTTCATCCAATTTATTTTTGAACAGGTTGATACATAATGCGTCTATTGTTTCTTGTTTAAGATTGTTTCAGTCGTATACTACTCTATTTGTGAAAAATTTATGTCGCTTTATATTTCCTGTATATTGCTTTCTCAGTTTACCATTGTGAACCCTAGTTTTATATCCATTATCTAGCATTTCATATATATATATATATATATATATATATATATATATATATAGTTTTATAGACATTAATAAATACGAATTTCTCTCGATACTAATTTTATTTTTTAACAAAAATTTTTGCTAGACTGTTGTGACCAGCATTTTCAACTAAAAAGTTTTTTGTTTATTTTTAATTAAATCTTATTTTTAAAACGGCGGTTCAATTTTATGTCAATTGGATGGAACGACAGTCTAATTCGTGTCATGTCTAATATGAAGTTTCATATTAGACATACCAAGAATAGTAATTTAGCCGATTACTGAATGCCGAATTTTCGGCACGGTGCTCGGCTAAAGCGCCAAATAATCGGCAATAGTTATTTAGAGGGTTTGGACCTGCATAATTAAAGTGCATATTTTCACTACGCTTTACGCTATTTTTTACAAACACCTTTTATTTATTGACTGTTACATCAACTTGTTTTAACTATAGTTATGTAAAATATCATACTCATACCATCATATAAAAATATCATACTTATACCATCGCACAACTACCATTTAAAACTATAACAAAAATAACCAGCTTCTGTATATATTGCATTTCTGAGGTAATTTTAGAAATAGCTATAAATAGATGTAACCCTTGCCAGTAGTTGCGCAGTGGTTAAAGTGCTGGCTAAGAATCAAGAGGTCCGAGTTTTGACGCCGTCTCAAGCCCAATAAACATCATCGGTAAGGAAAAATAGGTAAACTTTCTAGTTAAATGGTCTTCCGCTCTGCGATTAGACCGTAAAGACTTCTGGGAGCACCTTATTTACCACAAAAGTTACTTTTTTTTAAAAAAAAGTCCGGATTATGTTTTCCAAGAAGTTTCTATTTTTTGACCCCGGGGTCCGGAATCCCAGAGTTCTAAAAATCAATAAGACACATCCCAGTGATAATTACTCGCTAGACTTTTATGGTAAGTAAAACCATAAAAATTTTAAATCTTGTTTTTTGCAGATTTAAGTTAGAAATATTTGTATAACATGTTTTATGTATTTAACCGGATTTTTAAAAGTATATATTTTTTTAAATGTACAGTATGATGCAACCTACTGGTTTAATACTACCAGTGTTTTCTACTTTCAAAAAAATTTGAAAAAACTGGTTGATAAATTGCGATGCCGTGCTTCAAATGTATCAACAGCAACATGTCTTATTCCTATAAAAATTTTGTTTTTTTTTCCATATAAGTATATATACATAGAATCAATATTTCAGACAAATACAGATGGCCGGGACAAGTAGAAGACACAATCTGTCTTATCACCAAGCCCCAAGAATTGACTTCGTAAAATAAAAACTATTACATACAGCATATGTAATTGTAACCAGTATATAAGAAATAAGATTTTCTGGTAATAAATATATAAAAATAGTAAAAATATATAAAAAGAGTAATAAATACCTAAAAAATAAAATTTTGCAACATATAACTTGTGAAAAAATTTATATTCTTTTGAAAAAATCAAATAAAAAGATACAAATTAGAAAAAATAAAATGTTGGTTTAACTCTTAAGATAAGAATCAATATAAAGATGTTAATTGATTAAAATTAAATACTAATTAATTTTATTAATCAAAAGTAAAGTAGAAAAAAAAGTAAGGATCTGAATCTCTTCAAAAAAAAAATATATATGTATATATTTAAATATATAGGTTATGATTCGCCCAAAGTGACAATAGGTTGGAAAGATAAACTTTAAAATAAATTAAAAAAGCTTATCTGTACTACCAGATAACTTTAGAAGAAGTCATGCACTCCGTCACTAACCGGAAGCATTTGTTTCAATTTTACGTTGAATTCGTTAAGAGTACCTTGAGTTTTAAGTTTATTAGATATAAACTTATTCCATACTTTTAGCCCTCAAATAGATATTAAAAACTCCGTCGCTGCAAAAAAACTTTTAGGCTGAATATAAGTGTTGCTTGAAAATCTGCTTAAGTATCTATTTTTATTTATTATGAATAGCGAATTAAAAATGTTAAGTTTTATTTTTGAATTAACTTT